TCTCTCTCTCTAGCTCCTTAGGCAGTGTCACACAGAGGATTTGGGAAAAAAGAAATCCAAGCAAGTGAACCAGCAGTTCTCTTCTGAATCAAAGTCAGAGTTCTGAGCTTCTTGTAAAGCAGGGTTCTGTCCCCCCCCCCCCAGGCTGTTCAGTTCTAGCAATTGAACCATATATGCAAATTAAGAAACCCAAAAGGTTAAGGGATGCGCCTATAGATCTGGGTTCTCACTGTGAGGAACACAGAGATGACCACGATGAAAAAGTAATCCAAATAAAAAGACAAGGGATGATAAATTGTGATACCCACTACCAATTCTAGAGAAGTTCAGAAAGGTAAGGTTTGCTACTGGCAGGAGGAGAGATGGGAAAGCACAGAGGGCATGGCTGGAGTTGGCAGAGCAGGGAAGAGGGGCACAGGAGTGCATCCTAGGCTGGGCAGTCTCTGATCAGGAGGGCACAGGTGAAGACAGAGTAAGACTGGCTCAGGAACCCTGGCAGAGCAGATGAGAGGCAGAGTCATTGTGAAAGTACAACAGAGAATAAGACTGAGCTGACAGTCTGGGCTCGAAGATGGGGACTACAGTGGAGCAGAGGACTTAGGCATTGTGACCCTCAGCACAGACTGGTTCCTAGGTTTGCAAATGCACACAATCCAAGCAGTTTGTAGGCATGAGGATACTCGTGTGTGCTGCCCCAGGTGAGAAGCAAGCCCTCTCCTGAAGCCACTCTCACTGTGGTCCTTAGCACCGAATGCTATGCACTCACTTCCTAGAGCAAGGATCACCTCGACATCTAAGAGAAGTTCTGCAATGTCAGATCAGCTGGCACTTCTCAGCTACTTCGTGCAGCAGGAGCCAATATTCAGTTGTCAGTTATTGCCTAGCTTTGCCACTCATCTGCATTGCTGTAGAGAAAACATCGCCTAGGAATAGAGGGTAAGCCCAGGCTTCAGTGCTACCAAGGACTCTCAGCTCTCACAACTCACTTAACCTTCTGGGGGGGATCTCTCTTTTGTAAAAGCAAGGACCTCTACCTGACAACTCTTTCAACAGGTTTGCTATGTGTTGGGTGTCGTGGCTATGATGGTTAAGATGCCATCTATTGTAGCCACTTTTAAGGCTTGAACTCTAGCCTGGAGGCAGCACTTAGACCCCTGCAATGGGGTCTTGTTCTGGTAAAGGGTTGAGCAAAGAACTCTGGGAGCACATGCACAACTGGCTAACTTTGTCTGGGCTGCCCTGAGGTCTTTTTCATTCTGATCCTCTTAAGTTCACTACTCCCTTCTCCTTCTGTGTTGGAGCTCCCTCTGGGCTTCAATCTAGGCACCTTGTCTTGCTAGTTGCCTGGTTCTGCTTGTTTTACCTGCTGCCTGAGTGCCAAGTGCACCCTTCTTTGGCCGCCAGCATCAGGCTTTACTCACTGCTCTGGCTGGAGCTGTTATCCTTTCTTATGCAGCTTGGGATTCTAGCCTCCTGATTGATCTTCCTGTCCTTCCTACTTGCACTTTAACCCATTCTTTCCCCAGAAATTACATCTATCTTCAGATGTAACTCATCCAACCTAGACCCTTCAAAGACTCTGCAGCAGGGCTTGCCGCTTAGAGTCCTTGGCCCCTCCAGCTGCTTCCTTGGTGGTCACTCCCCACCCTACCTTCCCATGCTTCATAGCATATTTCTGTTGTTCATCTGACCCCCACCTTCCGCACCCCTGGCCACCACTCCTGCTACTCCTCCCACCCCCACTGACCTCTCTTCCATTTTACCACCCGCCCCTCTCTCAACCTGCACTAATCTCTAGCCTTGTTTATCCTACAAGATTTAGTTCAGACTTTACTTCCTCCTAAGGATCCTAAGCACACCTGTGTTAGGGACGCCTCTGTCATAACACTCAGGCAAGGCTCAGCATTTAGCTGTGTATCAGGTTACTTTTCTTCTGCACCCACCTATGAGTTTAAAAGTAAGAATGTGTCTTTTTAAAGTTTGCATTTAACCACCAGATCCTGGAAAAGAATCATTATTTATCACTAATTCCCTCTGTTTCAAGGAGATGTTAGATCCTTACAGTGCATTTATTATTGATCCTTTCAGTAGGCCCAGGAAATAGGCAGTATGTGTAATATCTCTATTGTACAGGTAGGAATGCCCGAGTCATGCTCAGAATAAATCAAAACCCAGATTTTTTTAAAACTCCAAGACCCCGGTTCCAATGTTAACAGGAGCTGTTGAATCACTACAAATGAAACGTTCTTACCAGAGTCTGCCTGACCTCAAAGCAGAAAAGTCCCCAAAGTTGCCCTTGTTGAATTCCTGAATCTGGAATACTATGTGGCTAACCTCATAGACTTGTTAATAGGCAGTTCAAGATCAAAAGGCAACCAGATGAACTGAATTGTGAACTATTCCAGGTAGAATGGAATAAACAATCTGTTTCACCCTTCAATAGTTGCCTGCCTGTAGTAAAGGCAGCCACAAGAAGTAAACAACTAAAAAGTCTAATGAATTCTTAAAAGCTAAATGCAGACAAAAGATTATGATTCTGCGAGCTTCAGACAGAGGAAGAAGACTCCAGAATCACTCAGTGGCTCTTTTCCGCAAACCTTTGCTGCTTGTCCAAAAGAAAGGCAGAACAAGAGCCCAAGAAAGCTTCACCAAAGTGTGTGGGAGGAAACTTGCCTCTTCCTGAACTTTGCTCTCATGTGAAGCAAGAGCAGTATTGCATAGGATGAGGGGCAAGAAGCGTTCCCACTATTATTCTGGGCAAAAGTCATCTGCTGCTAATGGAGGGTCAGGAGGGAAAGTCGCTGTCACTGGGGGACAACAGGAGATCCAGGTCCAATGGGACCTGGAAAAGACAGAAGTCTGCTATTCCTGAGAGAGGGGTAGGAAACTCACAGCCCTTTTCCCTAAGACCCTCTACTGAAACAAGGCTAACTCTGTCCCTGAGAAGGTAGGACAGGAACACTACGAAAGGCTACTTGCTGAGACTCAGGTACCAAGAACCTGCACAAGCCAGAAATGATACAACCCTCTTCAGAAGGCTTGGATGGAGAAACAAACAACTACAGTCCTCACTGCCCGAGACTCGAAGTGCAGAGAAGCTTCCAAGGTGGCCAGAGCAAGTGGCCACCCAGAGCTCACAGACAAGGACAGACAAATGATTATGACAAAGAAATATGATTACTGAATTGTAAGAAGATATTTAGTTTTTTATACAAAACTGCCAGAAATTCTTCCAAGGTGGCGATTCCATTTTGCATTCAATTATAGAAACAAATGAGAGTTTCTGATACTCCACATTCTCATCAGCATTTGGTGATTTCAGTGTGTGAGATTTGGGCCATGCTAATGGGTATAGTGCTTAATATGTTTATTATGTGATTTAATATGCAATTTGACATTTTTGTTATGCTTACTTTTCATCTGTGTATCTATCTTCTTTGGTGATGTGCGTGGTCACATTTTTTGCTCATTATTTAATTAGGTTGTTGGTTTTTTTTTCCATTATATAGGATGAGTTTTACTTAATAAAGCTGACATGAAAGAGAAGATGGTAGAATTTAGACTGCAGATCACAGACCACAGACTATGTCAAAATGTACTACTTAGTAACTATGAATCTGGGAGAATTTCTTAATTCCTCTCTGTTGGTTTTTTTATCTTTCAAAGAAAAGTAATGTGACCTGGCTCATTGTGTAAGTCAGTTTTATTTATTTATTTATTTATTTATTCATTTTGGACACTGTGATCATTTAAAGAAGAAAACATCTACTTTAACTCACAGTTTCTGTCCATAGTTTTTTTGGCTCCATTGTTTGTGGAGTGTCTTGATGGAGAGGGGATGGTGGAGCAGGGCTGCTTAACTCATAGTAGCTGGGAAGCATAAAGGGAGTGGGAGTGGGAGAGAGGAAGGGACAAGATATAGCTATAAGATATACCAGGCCTCTGCTGTGACATGTTCATGTCACCTAGGTTTGTATTAAAAGGCTAGATATGTCATACACAAATTTTGTGGGTCGAAGTCCTAGCTCTCAGTATATCAGAATGTGATATTTGAGAAAAGGGTCTTTAAAAATATTTGTAATTAAATTTAAATAGGATTTGTTTTGTTGGTTCCTAACCCAAGAAGTCTGGTGGAAACTTGAATAGTAATTTTGGAATAAGTGGAAGACTGGAGACAGAGGGAGAATATGGCCATCTAAAAGCAATGCATAGGGCTGGAGTGAAAGCTCAGCAGCTTAAGCGCCTGCCCAGCATGCATAAGGTCTTTTTTTTTTTCTTTTTTCCATAATTTTATTGATAAACAAATAGTAATGAGACAGTTTCAAATCAAATTGATAGGACAGTTTCAATAATTAACACATTGTGTACATTCTTCTTAGTGGTTAATTGCTGTACAAGATGCTGACATGATA